TATGGATTTCAATCATTCACATTGGGCATGAATGAAAATCCTTCTTCTATAGTCCAATGAAGTAGAATATGGATTTGAATCCTCAAATTATCCTTTGAGATGAGAAATATAGTATGTGTGCTTAGACAAACAAGACCAATAACTCGTGTTTTCTCAACCTGAGTCTGATTCTAATTCCAAGGCAGGAATTCCTAGGTTCCCTATGATATCCACATTTATGTAACCATGCAATAGTAATTCTTGGGAGAAAATCAGAAAATACAACTAATTGTCACCATACTTCCCCTTTTTCAAATGATATTAAAGTCCAAGAATCACAGATTTTCTTTTAGTCCTCTGCTATGAACACCAAGAATTGAGCACCTGTACAAGCACCACGTCATGAAAGAATATGAGAAGCAAGAAATTCTTACCCAACAAAAGACCAACTTGTGCTTGGCATTTCCCAGAAGAACATCAAGAACCAACTCCATATTCTTCCTGCATAATTTTCAACAACATACATGGGGCAGATATAACCACACGAGTCCACATTTTAACTACCGAATATATCCAATAAATGTACTATGGTGAGTAAGCAAAGTTTGAAGAGTACTTGATCCTTGATGACCATACACCTACATTGAATCTCTCAAAGCAGAATTGCAGAAAATCGTCAAGAAAAGGCCTTCTAAAAACTGGCACAGCAGATATAACCCAGTTAGAATAATTTCTAAAAGGAAAGTAAAACTAAAAGGTGAAATAAAAAGTCGGCCAACTCTACCTGCTTTCCCTGATACAATGATATCCGCTTTCAAATTATATGGAACATGACGAACCGGAACAATATCAGCAAGTAATCCATTTACATCAAGTACAAGAAGCTTCTTACTAGAAGGTGCATTAAGCACTCCACCCAATGGAGGGATGACAGCCATATTTGTGATTTGAGTCTTCCCATCTACAAAAGCACTCGTTCTTGAATGAGGACTGTCTTCAATTGCTGATTGTCTTTCCCCATTCACGGTTTCATTGGTTGTGATCATACTATTAGTGTCATTGGAGGCCCCAAGACCACAAGACCTTGCACAATGTGAACTCTCTTTGGTAGATTCAATTTCATATGCCACATTCACAGTGGCATCTGTCTCATTTCTATTCTCCTGCTCAGAATTTTCTACTTTAGAGTCTATTGGACACTCATCCTTGATAGAAACCATTGAACTGTTGATGTTCTCTTCCTGATCATCAAGTTGAATTATTTCCTTTTTATTCCAAGCTTCAGAGCATGAACTGTCACCAGGTGCCTTCTCTAATAGCATTTGTTGCACACCCGTCAACAAGGTACTGTCTCCAGTAATTACTTCTTCAGGCAAATTATCGGAGCAATACGATAAAGACACTTGGTAGTGGTTTGAGCTGGCGGTTTTTGCTTTGTTTTCTATAATTGGAAAAGAGGAGGCAGCATCCGTCATGATAGATGATAAACTGCTTGCGGGAGCACTAGAATTCTTTCTCCTCTTCCTGGAATAAGTTATCAGCACTTCCAGCCTTGGGTGTCTATGCAGACCCCTCATCTCAATTGCAGCATTATTGACCTCAACAAAATTACCACGTTCAGTAGTCAAAGTATTGCCTACATTAGAAACTGTCTCATCCCGATTTTCAACTTCAGAGACAGACTTCGACTCCAAAGTAACAAAAATGCGATCCTTAGAAATGTCACTGCTGCACCTATCACTACAAGTTTCCACATCACGATCTGCACCAGTAGACTTAGAGGGATTGTTCCAATTAGTTTTTTCTGCCCCATCACATATATTCCTAGACAGACATGCCCCTATCTCACAACTGCTCATCACCAAATCTCCTTCATAGCATGTGGCAACTCCCATTTCTGAACTTCTACCTTTATCTAAACGATTCTTCCCTGTTATAGCAGCAGCATTTGCCTGTTCACAAGTAGTTACATTATTTTCCGAGGCATTACACTTGCTCTCCAGAATGCTTCTTCTTTTCTTTACCTTCCATGCACTCAAGTCCGCAATGCAACTTCCTACTTTTGTACTTGATTTGATATTTTCAGAAGACCAGAGATGTGAATTTTTTTCTTGACCCATGATCCTCAATGGAGCTCCTAACACGTGGTCAGCATTACCAATACAAAATACCCTCCTATTTTGCTTATTTCTCATTCTTTTTGCCTGCCAGGGAATGAGGTCATCAACGTTTTTGTTATGATGGCCTCTGCTAAAAGCAGCTTTGCTATTCAGCTTTCTCAGTTTAGTACCACCCTTACCCTTCTCAGCATCCCAGTAGTCTGGAGCCCCAGGGGCAGGCAATGCCTGGATAACAATCCTACTGCTATGCATCCTTTTCATTCAATAGGGGATACAACAATGTTAACAGGAAGGTCCTGCAATAACATTAAACCAAGTTCCAATGAAGAACATTGGGGTATAACTGAAGTTTAATAGTGCATATTTGCAATAAAAGTGGAAGCATGAAACCAGTAAGAAACTTTTCCGCAAAATTCCCATGCAATCACGAGTGTAGCTACATTAGTTACAAAAGTGTCATTAGAACCCAACTCAGTGGTAGAAACAGGATCCAAATCAGGATGGATCCCTAGTGTAAGATATGGTTTCACATGAACCCAATATCTTTTGCTCAGACCTTGTATATGTATTAAGAAATCCACTAAGTATAATCTATAAACATTTAATATTAACAACTGCAAACCCCGATTGTTATTGTATATTAACTTAAAGTCGCTATAGTAACCAATAAACTTCAAATCACAGATCCAACTCTGATCCAAATATGCAGTCTGAAATACTAAAAAAAGATAAACTTTAAAAAGTACTTGCTTTTAGATTGCATCAACTCTACACTACTTATACTCGTAACCTTCCTTAATAACAACTGTTTACATTCCCCAAAAGGAAGAGAAAAAAAAAAAAAAGCAAAATATTCAGTCAAATACAATTTGGTCAACACAAAATGGAGTAAGCTCAGTCCAGCTAGTTTATAGAGATTGCAATCTATATTCAGTCTGTAGCAATCACATTTATGAATCCTACACAAATACGAGACAATGCCTATGCAGATTTAACCTAGAAAACTCAAAATTGTATTAATCGAAATACTCGATCGTAAAATGCATCAGAGAAAATGGGAAAAAAAAAATCAGTATACTTGAAGCATATGAAAGATACCTAGTTGAATCTGTTGAGCGTTGGAGAGAACTGAAAATGGAAAGAGTCGAATTTTGATTTTTGAGTAAGAAGTGGAAGGACCAGAGTATTTCGGGTAAATACAGCGGGGATTTTGGTATTTTAAGATTGTCTTGCTCGAAAACCCGATCCAATTTTGTAATCATTTGGGGATTCGGATCCTTCCGACCAATCTTATCCAATTTGTGCAAATTTTTTTCTTTTTTTATTTTTAGAAAACATAAAATAATTTTAAATGGTATAAATACGAAAAGTTTAGTATTTTGGAGTATAAAATCCACGAGTGGAAAATATAAAAAATATAGCAATATAGGCATAATAATATTGGTAGAAATAATATCATTAATTTAACGAATTGTTGATAATAGAATAACCAACATAGTTAAATACTTTAACCGAAAATTAGGCCAGAAAATGATCTTCCAAAGTGTAAAAAATCGACAATGCTTTTTTGGATGTGTGAGGCTCTCTGAGCTGGACCCCCATGACGTAAAGAGTGTTTAGAGTGAACATCCTAGTCATCGAGTTGTTAGTTTTTGTTTTAGAGTTCTGCATAGCATCAAATCGAGCTCAAACTTTACAATTTAAAATATCGCAGGTAAGTATACAACTTTACGTGCTTCCAACTTTAGCCTCGCCGTGAATCTAAACCTTCTCATCCTGAAAATAAAATAAAATTACTACATTTTTATCCTTAAGTCGTTCGCTTTAGAGCAAAGCTTATGATTTGAAGGTCGCCGTCATTAAGAAAATTTTAAATATTATTAGCGATCAATACGAAAAATACTAATCTCATAGTTTAATCAACAAGAGAAAACTCTCAAAAAGTTTTATAGGAGCCAAAACATCATGACTACAAAATTTTGATATTTTTTTTTTAGTAACTAAATTTTTGGTTTTTAGATGTACAAAAGTTGTACATGCAGGTTGACGGCATTCCACATAATCCATCTCTTATGGGAGTGTCGAAACTGAACTAGTGTGCGCTATGTCATGGTTTGCAATTGGCTTTTAATCTTGGATACAATCCTCTAGAAGTGAACCTCGATGCACAAGCAGCCCTTACTATATTACAGACCTCGCACCCACTATATGCTAATCTTATACATAATTGCAGGTGTCTGCTTGAGCAACTGGATGATCCTGTCCTACTTTACACATATAGGAAGCAAAACCAAGTAGGTGGTTTACTAGCAAAGTCTGGCTGCCATATGGATAGAACTGCAGGCATCACTGTCTTGTCTTTGCACAACTTCCATCTTTTTGTTCAAGCAGCTTTGGAGGATGATCGCTCAGACACACTTTTTGTCAGAAGGGTTGCACCATTAGTTCTTCAGCACGCTACCTGCTTGCAAAATCCTCTTGGACCCCTTTTTTGTATTTCGCGGACTACGGGAATCAGTAGTAGTAAATACCCCAGATCCCCCTTTTGTAACGACCCATCACATGGTCGCCCCCTCAGGATAATGTCTATGCTTTCAAATGCTCCATGTACTACTCCGCCTTAACATAATATAAATAGTTATTCTTTGAACCAAAAAAAAAAGGACATTCCACATACGATATTCAAGAACATCAACTGTGAGATAGTTAAGTTGGGGAGTTATTTCCTTCCCCCTTTTTTTCAAATGGAGTTATTTCATATTCCTTAATTTTACATAGTACTTGTTTAAGTAAGCAGCTTTATCTGAAGTGTACAAGAATTAAGAGTTCACGGGTCATTACAAAATTTGTAAGTAAATAAATACAAAATCCAACCAGAACCTAGTTATCCTCACAATTAACTGAAACAAAACTATAACAGGCTTGCTATTAATATTCTGGGAATATCAATGACGCAGAAAAAATCAATAACAGGCTTGCTATTAATATTCGTATACACAACACCCATTCAACAAGGATATATATTGAGGAAACAAAACTAAACTAAAAAGAAACTTAATACATACATTTTGCCCTTCTCAATGTGCTGCTGAGGTCTAGACCTCGTACTTCATCTGCAGAGATAAAACACTTCATACAGGGTTCAACACTTTGGGGTTTGATTGTAGATGTTGGCAAAGTAATCCCAAATACCACGTTTCTCGTTTCAGGAAATATTTGGAGGCATCAATTTTTTGGGCATACTCGTGCATATGAGCTTTTATCCCTAAGCAGCAATGCAACTCTCACTGCTCATCAGGAAAGACTTTGTTTCAAAGCATAAGTAGTTGTATGCTGTGGCGCAGCGGCATCCGCAATGACAAATACCACAGCAAAATAACTGCTGTTGCCAACTGGAACAGCCCACAAACTGACAGTTATACCTTGACGTATTTATCAACATAGCCCTGGAAAGTAAACTGTTAGTTACATTGTACTGAATTTGCATAATGTCTTCTAATCAGAGCATCAGCATCCTAAACAACCAAGGTTATATATAAGTCTCTATGGAATAATAAATTTGATAAGCAAAGGTAAAATTTGAAACAACAGTGATAAGCACTGTAATACTCAACTTCAAGTAAAAGGGGGGATAATCCTATTTCAGACATAAGATAGATATTATAAGTATGCCCAGCACATTCACTTTAGCGTAAACTCAATCCACATTATGATGGACACAAGCTAAAAATGTTCAGAAGGCAAACACTTGATTCAACCCTAACCAAAAACAAGATGGGTTAGGTCAAGATGTGTCAAATAACGAGTTAAAGCCTACCACATCCAGCATGACCCAACATTCCCTCTTTTGTTGTTGCTTTTTGAAAAAAATGCGAAAGCTAAAGTAATTTTTTTTATTAGCTTAAGTTCTTCCACATTTACATTATTCCAATCTCCAAATTTGATTTTGTATGTTTTGGTATAGCTTGTATCTTGACCGTCAGGTTACAGTGTTACACTATGTTGACCCGTTTAGACCCAATCGTTTGATGGGTCATTTCAGGTTCAACCCATTGGGGGTCAAGTCAATCAACGGGTTGTGTTACAACCTGTTTAAACTTGGTTGGGCCGCACAGATTAAAACCCTTGGCAAAAACTAAACACATAAAAGGGTCTTTGTGAAACAGTAGAGATAAGAAGAGGTCATACCATGACCAGTTTAGTTAATTTCCTCTGTGATGAGTCAATGTAATGGTCGATTTTTGCCTTAGACTTGGGTATTTGGTGACTTTTCATAGCTCCAGAGACCTTGTCAACAGTTTTCTTGACTATGGTCTTGAACACCTCCTTGCTCATATTACCTTGGCGCCATGATGGTTTTAACAGCTCTTTTACGAAATTAGCAACTGAACTCTTGAAAAGCTTCATAGATCGGGAATCCTTACTTTTCTTTTTCTCCCCAGATGGCTTTACCTGTTCGATCTCAATCTCTCCTGCAGGGACATCTTCCCCATCACTGGAATCGCTCGGACTTCCATTCTCAACAGCACCTACCTCTGCCTCAGCAGTCTCACCAAATTCATCATTTTCTGCTGATGCGGTAAATGCAATAGCTCCACCTCTTTTTTGCCTCTTGTTTACTTCAACATCCAGTGGTTCATTGGATCCACTGAGCTTTAACATACCACCCGAGCCATCAGTTACTTCAAGCTTTTGACCAGGATCAGACTTCTTAAGTGAGCTAGTAGATGGCTCTATGCTGTCGTAAAGTGGGTCATACTGGTTACCACCTGGCTGGTTGAACATTCCTCCAGCTGCACGGGCAGATGGTGGGGTCATATTCCGTGAACCAAGGTTTTCTGCATGATGGCCATCAATTGGCATATTGCTCAAACTAAATGCACCGTATTTATTACTAGGGAGCATATCTCTTCCATGTATTGAAAGATCCGAACTGAATTTCGTGGTTAGTGGCTGGTCAAATGTAGATGCATAAGGGTTGAAATGACTTGAAATTCTGGATCCAACAAAGTCAGGCAACCGAGGAGCTTGATTCTGGTCTAATGAATCAGATGAATACCTTGACATAGAGGAACTACCTCCAGGCTCAACAAGATGTCGAGAAATACCAGCTGTCTGAGGACCACAGTGCGGCTGTTGCATGTAAGGGTAACTCGTAGAAGATGGAACAGGAAGTTCACCAACAGGCAGACGTTCGCCAAGGAAAGCTGGTGGTCTATTTGGTGAACCCCTAGAATAGATAGGTTGAGTCTGCAGATAAGCATGATGTTCACCACCTTGAGGAATATTAGGCAATGAGCTCGAATAGAACTCATTCCTTGGAACTACTATATTTGGTTGAAAATGTCCCCGAGGAACATTATGTTGTCCACCAGCTGCATTTCCAGAGGAGTCGTTCACAAATGGAGGATGTGGTGGCTGTGACTGTGCTGGACGTGGTGGAAGAGAATTCCAAGAGGAACTCAGAGGTACAGCGAATGGAGACGGTTGATGAGGAAATGGAGCTTGATACAGAGGAACACTTTCCATATATGCAGAATTAAATGGTGGGGGCAAGTTGTGATCTCTGGGCATCTGCTGAGTAAATGCAGTACTTGAAGCCTGCGGAAGTGAAGAAAAGGAAGCTGATAAGGGTGCTGTCTGGGCAGATGCAAATTGAGGAAGCTGGACGGGTGTGACCATTGATGATGTCTGCACAGATGATGACTCCGGAACAGACGAATCAAAGTTCTCTTTAAGTTTCTCATCCACATTTAGGAGCATCTGACCAGAGACATGATCTTCAAACTGATGAATTCCCATAGTTCCAGCTGAAGAGGGAATTTCCCCGGTAGCATCATCACCAGGAAGCTTCTGCCCTTCAGCAACAATTACTGGACTCACAGTATGTTCCATTTGATTCTCTTTCCCATAAAGCTGAGAAGTAGGTTCAGGTTCTTTCATATATCTCACTTCCATAGCAGGAATACCTTGGCTTTGGGATTTATCATGATTGTGGACCGATTTCTCGAGAGTAGTACCAATATTTTCATGCGCATGAGAATCCTTTAAATCATCCAGATCCTTTAAATCGTGCATATCAGAATCCTTTGAAATAGGCGGAAGATCTTGGTGCTGATGTTTGCTCCTATATGATCTTGATCCACCACTCTTGTCAAGCTCAGCATGGAAATATCGACATGATGCTCCATAGTAACACTTGCCTCGAAGGAAGTCTTTACATTGTGGGAGATGACCTCTGTCCCTTCTCGTTTTGTCACCACCAAAAGTTAACCCACGCCTAGAAGGTGACTTGCTTCTACTTCTGCGTCTCTTTGGAGAGATGCTGTATAGTTTAAGCATTGACAATTTTAAAATCATCCAAAACTACAGTAGAAATCAAATCAACAGAAGAGATATTGGGCAGAAACGTAGGAAAAAGCAAATTAAAATGAGTACCTCCGAGAACGACCCCGCCTCTCCTGTCTCTTCCGTGGACTCTTCCTCCTCCTCCTATCATAAGGAGAGCGGCTTCTGCTCCGGCTTCTTCCTCTTTTTCCACGTCTCCGCTTATACCTTGGTGAATCATCAGAATCACTGTCACTTACTCCCTCCCTAACCAATCTCCCATACTCATCAACCTTCCGCATAGGAGATTTATCCTTCGCATCTTCCCTAAGCAAATCAAAACTGTCACTATCATCAACGCTCAAGATATTTTCCCTATGAGGTCCTTCATTAGCAGTATCAGTCTTCAAAGATAATCTATTTCCAACACCATTATCAAAGGAATCCTCAAATTTTACAGCAGCACAAGATTCTTTATCATCTTTGGGAACAGAATTTGAAGGTTTAACTGAAGATATGGGGGATTTCCCGGTATCTGTCTTGGCAGTTATAGTAACAACTTCGCTAGGTGGAGGAACTGTCAAAGGGCCAAGATTTCCATGACAACTCTCACTAGCATTATCTAAACTGTCATCCGAGGCATAGCCTTGAATAAGCCTAAAAGGACTGGCAGCTTCCATGAGCTGACTGCTACTATTTTCAAGATGAACTCCCTTATCAGTGGGTGATACACTAGGATGGCTCATATCTTTCTCTATAGAAGATGATGTCTGCACATGATCATCCAAGGCAGGTACATTATCCCTGTTTAAACCGTTGGCCTCAGAAGAGGGCTCCTGAAAACTTGATGGAGCACTATATGGAGTATCTGCAGAGACTGAAGATGTAAGAGGATACACACACAAAGAAGGCAACTTTGCATCAAAGTCAAACTCTAATAATCTCATCAGCCAATCAATCAATAAGTATGCCCCAATCCAAATTAGATGGGCCGGCTATATGAATCCTATGCATCCATTACGCTCTACGAATTTTCATTTCAATTCATTGTTAAGAGGATTCACTATCGTTAGTATTTAAAGGATTCATTAGAATTAGACTATCCATAAGCTAGCCTTTAACCTACTACAACCTCACTCCTTTACTCGGGATAGGACCACCTATCAAATCATATGTCATCAGAATCAAAACAAAAAACTAAGCTACTACAACAACTGCCCCTTAGTTCCAAACAGGTTAGGGTTGGCTATATGAATCCTCACTAACCATGTTTTTTATTTAAGCTCAACTCATCTCATCATTATACCAAAGTAAAATAAAAGTGAAAAATAAGTTATATACATGTAAATAATAGTAACAATAATATAACATTAAAAGTTTAAATTTTGACTGGAATATAAATTTAAATAAGGTCAAAATACTCCTAGAAAAGCTATCCCAAAATAAACAATTAAATGTTTCAGGGGTGTCTTTATCTCATATCAGCTTGAAGGTGATCTCAGATTAGTGGTAGTAGCTTCCTAACATATTTTGAATTATAGACATTCTATTGCGTACTCATGATGAATGCTCAGAGTTAGAAAAGAACTAATAAGCACAAAGCTAAAAGATACGTGTGTCAGCTATTCTAACATGAGTCACTTCATGGAATTTTCAGGTCACACCCTCTATTGGCATAAACGTTTGCACCTTGTCTTTGTTCCTCTGGCTCCAAGGGCCCACAGAACGATGAATTTCGATGTAGTATATCTTCGGCCAAGCTATCCTTTAACTGCTTCTCAGCCCCAAAGGGATGGATCTGTTGATCTTCATCTAGCTGGGTGATATCATCTGATAGTCCAACAGAGAAGCAAGATAGATCAGATGACTACAAACTTTCACACCCATCAATCAGAAAAAATGAAGCATCTAGGCAATAAAGAAATGTGAAGGTTTCAACGAACAGGTTGCAAAGAAAACAAGAATATATTGATGTGGCAAGTGCAAAGTAGAGCGTGACAAATAACTTGATTATAGCAATCAATAACTCGAAATAAGTAGTTCAATCACCTCACATTCTTCAACTGAGATAGGAAGAATCTCACTGATCTTTCTTTTTCTAAATAAACATCGGAATCATACTCAGGCTCCTAAAACTGCATTGGGCACTCCAGTACGAAGACCTCTTAAACCTCCGTGTTCTTAATTTTCCTCTGTTAAAATAGGCATGAAAGATAATATTGGTGGAGGCAACTAATAGCCATTGATTGGTCCCTCCACCAGACCGATTGCTATGTAGCTTTATACATTAACGGTATGACACCGTGTCCACTATCTGTCTTTCATAGATGTCCATGTAGTTCAGGGTTTAGACTAACACAAAAGAAAACGAGACTGAAGTAAACCTTACCCAAATGAACTAATTAAGAGCTTACAGGTAAAAGCGAAGATCATTTCCCAAAGGAAACATATGCTAGAATCCTTGCCATAAAATGCTGACCGTTCCAAAAGTTAGTTAGCTTGGTTCTCTTCTGAAAGGCTATATACACTTATACATAGAAAGTTTTAATACATCTTATGGATCTTAAAAAAAATATGAAGGACCTATTCAGTTTATATTCTTCAATAGGACAAAGACAACATATGGCCATGTTTCCCTCAACAAATACTGAACTCGCATTTTTTCATCTTTCTCTTGATTTTTATACTAAATCAAACAACTTCTATATATTGGGATAGAAGAAGCATCAAATAGCAATAAGCAATAGACAGTAGACATGTAAAGCATACAAACAGAATATAGTACACTAACCTTCCATCTCCATATCAGAATCAGCAGCGGAATGAGATGGAGCTGAGTTTATTGAATTAATAAGTTGAACTGATGAGGCTTCTCCTGGAACTGCTAGTGATACAGGCTTAGGAGGAGAAGATGGAAGATCTGAAGCCGAATTACTATTTACCGGAAAATCTTCTCTGTTAACAATCCCTCCATCGTGCTCAAACGCCCCTTCATCTTTAGCACCATTAGTATTCGCAGTGGACGATATGAGAGGTGGTGAAGATGGTGGAAGAGGTGGATCCCCAGGAGGTGAAGGCGGCAAAGGTGGCCGAGGACCAAGAACCGCAGGTTGTACATGAGAATCATGGCTTTTCAAATGCATGGAGGGATCAAATGGGGGAGGTGTGGATAAACCAGGGTTCTGTGAACTAGGTGGTGGTGGTGGTGGAGGAGGAGGAAGGTTATGAAGAAAAACTTGCATACTGTCTGGCGATGGCTGATGAAATGCACCTCTATAAGGCGTTTGACCTAGTGATGGAGGTGGTGGAAGAATTCTAGGAGCACCCGGAGCTATTACAGGTGCAACATGATGCATACTAGGATTCCACTGCGAATGCTGCACGGGAACTTGGTGAGACTGCTGCATTGGGGAGCTTCTATGAACTTGTGCTGATGGAGGAGGAGGAGGAGGTAGTGCATAAAATTGACTAGAATTGCTGCCACTTGTTGGAACTGGAAAAGGTGGACTAGGGTGACGTACACCATGATGGGCATGCTGATATGTAGGAGGGCCACGCTGACCAACTTGTGGTCCTGGTGGATAACCATGTGGCAACATAGGTGGACGTGGAGCCTGAGAGGCAGAGGGAGGAGGGGGAGGAGGCCACTGCTGCAATGGAGGCCTAGACATATTAGCATTTTGACCTATCTGAGTGGAATAGTTACTCTGACCATACATCTCAAACAGCCAGCTACCAATAGAATTAACAATTCTTGGGTGCACAATCCCACCTGGCGGTCCAAGAGGAGTTCCGACGTGCAGATCACCAAATTAACTCATCCAGCAGCCCGTTTAAAGATAAACTGTAACCTTCAATTCAAATAACTCAAGAAATCTAATTCCAGCAAAGTAGCGGGAAAAAAAATTCATGACCTTGCAGGCATTTACAAAGATGAAGAGAAAGAAACAAGAGGAAGAGATGAAAGCAGAAGCCAATGCAAAAAACTGACAAGGTAATCAACTAATCTCAGCATTGATACTACACGTCCAAAGTTAAGGAATCAGACTCCAAAGGGATATGACTCCTCCAGTTTACAAGATTAAAAGGTTTTATCTTTTTTCTTTCAGCAAAGCCTATCACCACTATGTAGAGTGCAAAATTTACAGTTTCAGAGACGAAGAAATAAGGCATGCAGGAATGTACATAAAGTTGATAACTTTCATAATAACAAAACAACCTAAACTTACATTCTAAATAATACTTAACAGATATGAAATCTTTACCCAAATATCAACGGGATAAATTTTAACTTAATCCCTAACTAAGAAGACCTTAGGAACCAAACCCACCGCCCAACACCTTGCCTGCCCCCCGCCCCCAATTCATTTATTCCTCTCATTTTTGTTTCTCCAGAGTCTAAGTTACAGCTGCCCAAAGCAGTAAAACGCTTCATAGTGTTAAGAAATTTCTACATCCTTCCTTCCAATTAACAAATATTTTATAACACATAAAATCGGTAATAAGGATTGCAAACTTTGCACAGAAAAATTTACTTAACAAAATAATGAATCAATCAACTGCATCTCAATCCCAAATTTGTAAGCTTTAAACGGGAAAAGGAAGATGAAAAAGAAGAAGAAAAAAAAAACTCACCTTTTAAATTGCAAGCATTTTCAAATGACAGTAACAAACATACCGAGTAAAAGAACAATAAAAGCAAATAATTTAAGCACAAATATACACTTACAATGCATACCAAATGACGAATTAGTAGGTCCGAAGATGTCAATATAAACTGATTTCGACGATCTGAATTGAAATCCAGCGAGTTTCGCATCCGAGATTTTTGAAGTCCTCTTCTGGGTTAAAACCCTAGAGAGAGAAACAGAGAGAGTGCAGTGGATATAAAAACAAAATGAGAAAAGGAAAAGAAAAAACGGAAGTGAAAAAAGATTTTACCGCAATTCCGCAAAGTTAACGGTCAAGGGAAAGCGGTCGGGTGATGGATTATGGGCTTGGGTCTAAACGAGTTCGTAAGGGAGAAATTCAAAAATAGCCAGATTTACAACTGGTCGTTCAAAAATAACACAATTTCAAAAGTAATCGAAATTTAACCACTTTTTATGTAAAGATAAATCTGAGCGAAAACACTGTTCAAAACCCGGAAAATACTCCAGTATATTATGCTGGAGTTCCAGCAAGTATATTGGTCCAGTATAATATACTGGAGCTTGGAGCACCGGTGCTCCAGTCTCCAGTATATTATACTGGAGCCAGCAAAGTATACCGGTCCAGCATAATATGCTGGAGTTCATACACAAGTGCACCGAACACCAGTATATTATGCTGGACCGGTCTCTATTGCAGCAAAATAGTGGCTATTTTTCATTGACTTGGTAAACGCTGGCTATTTTTGATTGACCAGTCCGAAAACTGGCTATACCGTGCTATTTTTACAGTTCTTATAGAATGTGGATGCCCAATTTAAAAGTTCTTCTTGTTTTCTTTATTTGGATACACCAATTTATAAAGGGGATTTTTTTCATACCTATACAAAATTAGAAATTTTATTACCAAAAAGGTCCCTGTTTACATAATTACCCCACCCACCCATGTTTAGTCTACAAAATATATACATTTTTTTAAAGTAGAATCCTTTCTGCATTAGCCTTCATTTTTTAGACACGGGAATTGGGATCACAGAGGATTCTTCGGAGAATTTACTGACGCAATTTTCGCAATTTAATTAAGCCTGATATTATGCCGATTTAGTCTCATCAACGTCGCACAATCAAGCTCAATACTCTGATTTTCTCTCATCAACGTCGCACAATCAAGTTCAATACTTTGATTTTCTCTATCTCCTATGGTTTCAAAATTAGAAACGGAAATCGGCGAAGAAAAATTGCAAAAAATTATCTTCAATCGTATTGAATTCCGTATTATAATGACAAATTTAGCTATTATGCTTCAGCTAAATGGTCATTGGGATAGCATTGGGAGGTACATCGAGTTTAATGTGATGGAATTGTAGTCGACGAGGATTCAAATTACAATCAATTGAATTCCGCAATTGCAGAGCATCTAATGATCAATACCTCTAAGAAAATCATAAAATCAAATGCACTGTCAATGAACATTGTCCTCCAATGGAAATTAGGAACGATTGTGGAGTTCGAGTATACATGGAGACCAAAAAGGAAAATAGAAGCTTAGGAATGTATCCGCTGTGTATAACAGTGCGTGATTTCGATTTGGAAGGCAGTATCTCTAATACGAGCACAATTGCAGGTTTGTTCTGTATCTTGAGTGATGATGTTCTGTCAGTTCATTATTTTCTACAATTATTCTACACAAATCTACGATGATACAACTAACAAATGTAGTTCAACTGTTATAACTTTTGAAGTATTCAATTTTAATTGTTGCACAATTTTACTACAAATTAGCTACAATATATTTCTGAATTGTATATACTTTTAATTGAGTGCAGGTTCATCTGGAACAATGTTGTTGATCGATAGGCCAACATCTCCGTCGATTATGGAATATGAAAGTAACATAATAACAGAACATACACCAAATGTTATTGAAGTAGGCCAAGTCTACAAAGACAAGCAAACAATTGTCAATGCAATGAAACACTATTCTGTCATGAATAAGTTCCAATTTAGGGTGAAGAGGTCTAGCGCAAGAAGGTAGGAACAATTCAATTGTCAAATTCATATTTGTGTTTATTTTGTAGTTGTTTGGTATTCTTTTATTTATAGGTAGTACTCTCTTTGTATATAATTGTTAATAAATTTGTAGTTTTTTTTTTTTTTGTAAATAAATTGTTTAATATAAGATTTTTGTGCTTAAACAACCTATTATTTTGTAGCTACATTTTTTATACCAATTTTTAACTTATTTTTTATGTAGCTACTGCCTGGTTTGTGTTGGGGACAATTGTACATGGCAATTCAAGTCAACCAGCATAAACGAATTAACATTGTTCAAAGTTCGAAAATTCAACAGCTTGCACACATGCTCTTTGATGGACAATACACACATACAACGCAAAGCAATTGCCATGGTAGTTGGTAGCATGGTGATGCCAAAATATATGGATCCTAAGATAATATACACACCAAAAGACATACAAACTAACATGTTGTCGGATCATAGTGTGAACTTAACATACATGCAAGCTTGGAGAGCAAAGAAAAAAGCTTTGGAATTTTTGAGAGGACACCCTGCTGATTCCTACAGTCGCTTGCCAAGTTATTTGTATATTCTGGAGAAGACTTATCCGGGGACGATAGTTAACTGAAGAAGACTGAAGATGATTGTTTCTTGTACGCATTTGTTGCGCTTAGTACGTCTACAAGGGTTGGGAGTATTGTAGGCCAGTTGTGGTAGTTGATGGCACCTTCTTGAAGCCGGCATACATGGGAATAATGTTAACAGCCAGCACAATGGATACAGCAGGTATTGTAGATTCTTTGTAGAAATATTATTGTAAAGTTGTTTTCAGTATGTACTTCTTATACTATCAAATTTTATTACATAAATTAATTTTCTTTTTGCCATCTGTGTGATAGGTAGCATATTACCACTGGCATACACTGTTGTTGATTCAGAAAATGATGCAGCATGGAATTGGTCTTTTGAGCAATTCAAAGATGCGTATGGTGAAAAACTAAATATGTGTGTTATTTTGGACCGGAATGAGAGTATCCTGAAGGCAACATCTACTGTATATACCGGAATGCCACATTATGCTTGCATGTGGAACATTTGGACAAATGTAAGATCAAAGTTCAAGAAGGGTCATCTACAGTTAAGCGAATTGTACTTTGTCACGACACGATCATACACAATTGATGAATTTAATGAAAGAATGTCAAAAATTGAAGAGATCGACGTGCGTGTTAAAGCATACCTATACGATATTGGCTATCACAGATGGTCTTGGGTACATGCTACGGTGAACAGAACGTGGACAATGACGTCAAACATTGCAGAGTCATTGAATGCAGTAACAAAGATGCAAGAGAGCTGCCCATAGTAGACCTATTAGAGTACATGAGGACTCTTCTTGAAAGTTGGAATAATGAAAAGTTATTGAAAGCAAAAGGTGCATTCACATACCTTGGGAAAAATACAACAAAGAGTTGGAGGACAACAGGACATTATCGCAGAAGATGAGAGTAAGCTATATCCAGTAACATCAGATCAACGATTCCATCAAACTAAATATATAATGCTAATTGTAGATAACTTGTTGTAAAATTGTAGTTATTTTGTACATATTGCTAACAATTAGTTGTGTGCTTGTAATGAATTTGTAGGTGAGGGCTTCAACAGACCACATCCATACAGTGCTAGACGGTGTGAAGCGCTTTATTGTTTGCCTTCAGAACAAGAGATGTAGTTGTGGACAGTTCCAGCTTGACGAACTTCCTTGTCCACATGATTTGGCGTCCTTGAGGCACAGGGATGAGTCTTATGAAAACTATTGTTCTCCTTATTACACGAGGGAGAGTCTTTTGAAGACTTATGAAACACCAGTAGACTCGCTGCCTGACGAAAGCAAATGAAATGTGCCACAACATGCAACCGAAGAAGTTGTAAAGCCACCAACTAAGAAAAGACAGCCAGGGAGACCTCAGAAAGAAAGATACAAACCATTTGATGAAGTAAAAGCAAAGAAATACAAGATTTCATGTGGAAATGTGGGCTAGAAGGGCATAACAAAAGATCTTGTAAGAATGCACCCAAAAGAAAATAAAAATTGATAAAGTAACTACAATTTTTTGATAGATTGTATTGAGGTGTTCTGGAGAATTATAGTTGAGCTGTAATTCTGTTGATAAATTGAATATAGACTATCTCCTATAATGAAATGTTTTCAACTCTTAATGCAATTGGTTTGTAGTTTTTTTTGTTGAACTACATTTCTTGAGCCAACATCCTTAGGCTGGATTCATCACAGCAACAGTAAGAGAATGGGAACGACATTCCCAGTTTTATAAAACTCAACTGTAAAATCAGCAAGTGTTGCAGCACTCTTAGACCGACTAATCAGATGAGGAACATCTGCAAATCCGCACCCTAGGGACATCAATATCTCCCCAGCCCACTGACTTAATACATAATGAAACATCATAAATGTAGTTAAGTTATAACGAAATTATATGCTAAAAATAATAAAACAATGGGTAACAACACAAAACAAAAGTAGTAGAATAAAGTACTAACAATTTTGAACCAAAAAGGATCTCCATAGTGCTTTCGATTTAAAGTGGTAATTTCCTGGACAAAATAACAAAATAAAAGGTAAAACAATTGTAGCACAAATCTGCTACAAATATGTTTCAACTGACTTGTTCTAAGTTAACAATTTGTCTACAACTTTACTACAAACCCACTACACCTACGCATTGTAACTACAATTTTTCTACAAAATAGGGAAACTAATTCTTCTTCTTCTTCCGGACTTGTGTTCTCTCATTTGCAGCTGGTGGACCTTTTCTTCTTGCTAATCTGCCAGTCACCTCACTCTCACTAATTGCACCAATCTCTTACTTTTTCCTAGCATAATCCCAAAGTAGAGCTCCATAGCGTCTACGATGTTGATCAATATCAGAAAGGTCTTCCTTTGAAATCGATAGCTCTCCAATGCTGACATATTCAGCAAATGCCACAACGTATACACCACAGTCACTGCAAATAGAAATTAGGGGAAAAGATTTAGCATTCAGCGGTTGAATAATATCTGTTAAATAAATAGAAGGAAAAGCAGTTTTTTCATACAGTGATCCCTCTTTTTGCTGGGATATCTCACGACCAACCACTGAATGTCAAAAGGGTCAGTAACACCTTTTTCAATATATGCCTTTGTGTTCTTGTAGTTGATGTCTGGACGCTTGCCATAGAAGCCAGTGCATGACAAA